CCAGCAGTATTCTCACTGTCGAGAGGGTGTTGTATGCATCTCTGAAACAGATGATACTGCTACAGTAGGAAACCACTGGTCTTTCCCAATGCAACAAGCCCTTACAGCAGAGCCTCTGACCCTTCCCGGGATCTAGCAATTTTGCCTTGCAAAAGGAAACTTTCCTACCAGCACTTCCCTTCCCCCACCCCCAAATCTGTATATTAACCACAAAAATCATCCTTTTTTCAGAAAACAGCTGCTCTCCATATGCCTGGCTCCCTGCCAACAGCTCCTGCCAAGCACTGGTTTGGACAATCAGCAAAATCATGCCTAAGATTGCATCATAATGGAGCGCGAATAGTGTGCAGGCAGCGGGCTACACCCACAGCTGTGGAGAATCAGAAACACAAGCCATACATATCTCTGCTGAGACAAAAGATGGCAGCTCATCAAACCAGGAGAGCCTAGATCACCAACGGGGATAGTCTGTTAACAGTCATCCCTTAACATTACTGTAACTCCTGCCCTACCAGTTTATGGCAGGAATTCATTAAACAGTAAGTGCATAAATATTTCCTGGCACCGATACAGCCATGTGAGGCATGAAATAAATTCAGGACCCACTGCCCTGCAAGACAGGATTGCAAGAGAGAATCAAGAACCAGGAGAGCAGACACAGTGGAGGGGTTACTACAAACCATCATTTGTCCTGCTGTATTGCTTTCTGCCCAAAGGTCAAGCAATGCTATACAAACACTAACCAATTCATCCTCATAACCCGCTTGGAGGTGGTACAGAGGAAGAACTTAGACCATGAGCATCTCAGGATAAAAACATTCTCTGGGGCCAGACTAGGAAAGGACTGTGGCAGGAGCTAATGCCAGCAAAAGTATCTCCCCACCACTTCCACTGCAACAACTTCCCAGCTCAGCCTTGCACATGCTTTCTGGAAACAGAAGAAGCATGTGGGGCAGTTTCAGTTGGAAGTAGTGGTGTCAACACCAGAGCTGCAATACCCCTGAAAGTAACACCAGGAGCTGCATCCCATTGTCCTCATTGACTCTGTTGCTGCCACAAACAAACATTAACCTCTTGACTCCCAGTCCTCTTCCTATCCACAGGAAGACCCTTCCTCCTGTATCTATCATGTAACTGACTTTGCCAGCTCAGCCTCTGACCAAGTAGCCTATGAAGCCTCATGACTAGGAACAATTTAGTTGTCAACCTGCCTTGCCTTCTGCCTAAGTTCAGACTAACACAGGTCACCACCTCTCTAAATGCTGCTGAGGTAGTCTTCCTTCTTCGCCTTGACAATGTGAAGCTTGCTTTCTGCAGATGAACAGAATGTTTCACAGACATCAGTGAAGTTCCCCAGTGCCCATGGTAGCCATGAAATATTTCTCCAAGAAAACTTAGGTGAAAGGAAAAGCAAAGCATGTAGTGAGTTACAAAGAGAAGTAAACCAGGAAAAAACCTGAACTATGATGACCATTCGTAAACATGTATTTGTGGTTCAGCCTTTGGACCAACCCAGACAGATCACCACTATACTGGACGATAAGCTTATGGTAAATTTCAGGCTCTGATTCAAATAATTTACAATAAATAGCAATCACATAGAAAGTTACTGATGTGAAAGACAAAGTCAGTAAGTCAATGTGGCTTGTGACTGGAGTTAATGGGGAAAAAAGAAGTTGGAGTCTTCCTAGAAAAGGATGCAGCTACACTTCCTTTGTCTTGATCTGTCCCCCAGCAGGAAACTCAGATTGACAAAGCACCAGGAAAATCGTACTGTGGAAGAGTGAAACGGTAACAAATATATTTTTTTCAAATGTTTCCCTTTGTCCGATTGTTCTGTGGAAGCGATACTCTGGTGAATGATTTCCCCTGAGAAGAAAAAAAAAGCGGAGCAACTTTTGAAGCTTTCCTTACATAGTAACTTCGTTGTATAAAGGATAAGTCATCCTTGCTAGCTAGATTGAAAGGCCCTACCCTGAACACTCTTTCCCCATGTTACTGGAATATCATTTGTCCCTGGACAAACATAGGGAAGACACCAATCCTCCTTCAAAGTGTGTGTCATCTAAATCTGGAACGGCAAGAGGGGAAATTTGAGGCCTGAAGCAAGGCAGAGATGTGCTCATGGTCACAAGACAGAGCAGCAGCAGAATGAGGACTAGAAGCCAGGGGATAGAGCTGGGGGTGCATTTTTGGTGAATGATAATTTTACCAAAATACACTAATTTGGAGTGACTGAAAAAAATTCATGGCTTTGGGATGAATTAGGCAAATGGTTTTGCCATAGAAAAGAGGGAGAGGGAGGAAGGGGATTTCTGAAAACTCCAGATATTTTCCTTATTTTTTAACAGATTAAAAAAGGATTAAGGCATCCCAAACATAAACATTTTTGTTTTGAGGCAAAGGAAATATGTTGTTCACCAGCAGTTAAGTTCTTTTGGTTGCTTTCTCCTTTTATTGTACTTGCAGCATTTTTTCTCATGATTGTTCTGTGCAACAGCCAAACCAAAAGCATTTATTATTCACCCCACCTGACTCCTACCCCTGTCTCTGGCCACCACCCCACACAGGTGCTATGTTTGCCTTCCATTTCCACTTGCATAGCCTCTTCACTAGTTTCAGGGAAGGCAGAGCAAGCACCTACCCAGTGAATTTCTGACACATGTAGATCAGTGACTGTCTCCAAGTCTTATCTATCTGAATCAGTCAGAGTATTCTGGCTCAGATCCTCAAACATGTTTAAGCACAAAGAGATCTCAACATAATAATTAGGGATATTGGTTTTCTCTGTTTTTAAAAAAATCCCCAATTTTTGGTTAAAAAAGTAACCCCAAATCCACATTTTTCCATGATTTAAAGGAAACACCACTCATATATCTATGTGTTCCTTTAAATCATGGAAAAATCAGGTGTTTCCTTTAAATCATGGAAAAATGGACTTATTTTTCTTTAACTGAAAATCGGGGATTTTTTTAAATCAGAGAAAACCAGGATCCCTGATGATAATCTGTATGTTAGTATCTATCCCCATCCAACTTTCACTTTAATTCTTCCACCCATCACCGACAGTTCTTCCTGGAGGTAGAGTTTCACAAATTAAAGAGAGTTCTTTGATTTTTTTTTACTTACTAATTCATATGTTGTCTCCTTTTTAAACCTTTGTGTTCTGATACTTGTATGCATTGAATATTTTGGTACTTTATAAACCTTTTTATATTTTAAGGTAATATTTATTTTCCACGCTTAGCAACATTTGTGATTATTTACATGCATCTGATTTTCCTACCCCTTGATATCATGAAGTGCTTATAAGTTGTTCCGTTTTATGTAGTCCCAGCAAAAGTTGTGTTTATTTCAGTAGGGATCATGGTGCTGCAGCTGGGGGCCCCAGCGGAGTAAAGCCTTTGTTCCTACAAACACCTCCTGGGTCATTTTAGTCACATTCCTTCAGCGTTACTTAGAACTAGTGCATTACTTCCTTCTGTGAGTTGCAGCCAGACTGGGTGGTAATATATACACAGGACAGGAGGAATGGTTTCCTCTGTTTTAAATCCAAGCACCTTTAGAGTACAACACAGCAGCTGGGTAACAGCAACACACAACAGCATACACATTTAGGCTGAGAAGGAAGGAAGCGTCCCCATGTCCCAACGAAACTGGGGAGAGGATCACTGAACTCTGCAGCCAATGTCCCCCCCCTTTAAAGAAGTGATTCTCAATCTTGTTAGACTTGAGGCACACCTGGATAGACCTGAGGGCCCCCTTGGAAAATGCCAGCTCTCCCTTTTCACTCCTTTTAACTACAGAAAAACAATGGAGCAGTTTTTCTAGGCAAGAAACTCAGAAAATGCACACCTCGTGGTTTCTGTTTGAAGTTTCTAGGTAATTCTTGTGAATCATATTTGTAACCCTAACATTGCGCAGCGGCACCCTGAGGAACCCCTCAAAAGGATCTCTGAATGGTGCTTGTGAACCTAACAGCACCAACATAGAGTGGCGCCCTGTGGCATCTCTTGAAAGGATCTCAAGGCAGCCCGGGGTGCTGCAGCCCCCGCCCCCCCATTGACAGTCACTGCCTTTCTCAACCTGTGGGTTGCGACCCAAAAGTGGGTTGCAGGAATCTATGAAAGGGTTGTGAACAAACTTCAAAGGAGAAAAGCACGGGAAACTGGCTTTTCCGTGGCAGGCTGGCAGAGCCCCAGCCTACAGGGCTGCTTGATGGTACTCGGCCCCCGCCATGCCCCACACACTGCGGGGTGGGGGCAGCCGGCCGGGAGTGAGGGCACTGGGTTGAGACTGGCGGCCAATATTTACAACTGAGTCCTGGTACAGAAAAGGTGGAGAACCACTGCCTCAGGGAAACGAGCATCTCTGTCGCTCCCAAGTGGCAAGGGCCTTGGTTTGTGTGTGAGGAAGAACAAGCCCCGCAGGAGCAGGGGCTGCCCCACGTGTTGTCTCTGGAGTGCTGCGTGTTTGCGCAGTGACCTGAACTTTGCCCGGGCTGAACCAGCGACCTCTGCCCGGGAATCAGACGCCGCTCGCGACGAGGCTCCTGGAGCTGGAGCTGGAGCTGGAGCTGGGAGCCGGGGCCTCCCCTTCCCCTCCCCTCAGCTCCGCTCCCCTCCCCTCCCCTCCCCTCCCGCGCACGCACTCGCGCTCGCTGAAGTTTGCTCCTTCCCTGCGGGGAGCGGTTTTCTGCAGGGCGCTTCCGCGTGCGCGGGGCGCGGGGCGCGGGCTCGGC